GTATTGTTTAAATACTTACTGTTGACTGTTGATATATTTCTTATATGAATTGCAGAATAATTCCGCTAAATACAAATTCCTGAGTTCTGCCCTCTCTGTGTTTTCTTTGGATTGTCGTAATTCTGTCATCTTGAAATACTAATATTTCGATTACAATAAATTACTACATTATGGTATTTATACATTTTTACAACAATATAGACAGCTAACAGTATTTGAAATAATTGATCGTAATAGTCAATAACAAAGTGCGTGAGAAATGATGATATACCATTTATGCGAGATTAACAGCCTAAATAACTGATCAGTAACAAAGTGCGTGAGATCCTATCATTGATTCAAAATGGAATTGGGATAATAAACTATGATCCCAGTGAATTCTGAATTATTCTTGATGTCTCTATTATCTTGACTCCTACTTTCCTTTGGCGTTTATTCATTAGTTTTATTTTCTCTGGTCAAACAAACTACGAAAAGCATACGGTGTGATGTTGTGGTATATACAGAGTTTGTTCCTACACATCTGTAACTGCGGTGGTAGTAACATATTGCGAACTGTGAATGCTGAACATGGATAATTTCCTGAGAATTACTTATCATGACTGTTTGTGAAGGTGATGTAAATAATTAAGTATCTAATGAATGCAGACACAGCCGAGATTTAATACCAATTAAACAATAACAAACCATTGGAAATTAACTGGCGCCGATTATCTAATCATCCAAATGAACTAGGATTTCATTGACTCTACCCAGCATAAACAGGTTCCACTCATTCTTACAAAAGAAACTTTCATAGAATACATGTCCAAACAACCAACCTTCGTCTTGTTAATATATGTGGAAACTTTGGCTCTGTGGTAGTAAGTGACTCCATATTAGTTTGTTTACTAGATATATCACACAGTGAAACAGCATTATTTACTGGATGACGTTTCGAACAAAATTTATTGTTCATAATCATGTCAATTGTCATCACACGACTTTGAAACTTGAGTTTTATAGTTTTCTTTGTCTTCTCCTATTTGTGGTCGTTGGGATAGTAGAATTCTCCAGATATCAGGGACAGGTGATGAATCATTACATGTATTTGCAGTTGATCGATTCCTATGTCAGTAAAAATAGGATTAGTGAAATGTTTAGGTGACAGAGCACAAAAACTAAGTGGTACCAAGGAATATTTAAGATAGGAAGTGATACACATAAAAGAAGCCTTGAAATTTAATAATTACCCGGATAAATTAGTCAGGAAGTATGTAAGTAAATGTAAAAATAAAATAAATAATGATATTAGCGATAGTGATAATAATAATACTAATAGTTATAATAATAATATTAATATTAATGACGACACCAACAATAAGGAATCTAAATCATCAGTAGTAATCCCATACAAGGAAGAAACTTCGGAAGCCTTACGCAGAATTCTTAACAAGGCAGGAATAAAAGTGGCATTCAAACCCACAAACTCAATTAGAAACAAGCTTTGTCGGTTAAAGGATCCTGTAGAGCCATTAAAACAAAACAATTTAGTTTATCTAATACCCTGCAATGATTGTGAGGTCAAATACATAGGTCAAACTAGTAGAACAGGGGCAGTCAGACTAGCCGAACATAAAAACCTAGCTAAATCTAGATTGGTTGACCCGAATAAGATAAGAAATCTAGAGAGTAGTTCAGCTATAGCATTACATGCAGTTACACACGAACATACAATAGGATGGGATAGGATGACAGTTTTAAAATCTAATGTCACAGCTGGGTTGAGGCAGAGATTGATAACAGAAGCTTTGTTTATCGAATCAACTGCAAATACATGTAATGATTCATCACCTGTCCCTGATATCTGGAGAATTCTACTATCCCAACGACCACAAATAGGAGAAGACAAAGAAAACTATAAAACTCAAGTTTCAAAGTCGTGTGATGACAATTGACATGATTATGAACAATAAATTTTGTTCGAAACGTCATCCAGTAAATAATGCTGTTTCACTGTGTGATATATCTAGTAAACAAACTAATATGGAATAACCTTCATCTTATTTTCCAATTTCTCGTCCCCTCCAGTATTCACCGTAATCATCCACTGATCACATTTTAACACTTGATGAACGAATTGATATTTTTTTCTTCTAATCACTAAACCAAATGACGATTTGTTAGTAATCTTTGCTCTGATACTTATATTACCGGATACCCGAATATACTGAGGGATAAAATTTAATAATACCGTACATCATACGGTCACGGATTTATAAATCCATTTTTACCAGGTGAAAAACTATGGAATATAGAAAAGGGATAAGAATGGTAATATTGTTTCAACCGCCGACGTATTCCGGACTTAACACATTTATTTTAACTGCATATAACAACTCATACAATGACGCATAAAACATGTTCCACGAAGAATAAACCACGAAGCTGTGAGCTGTCATATGGATAAATGGAAACCTGATGAAACTTGAAAGCACAGTTGAAATGTATTCATTGTTTGCTGTTCACTACGATTTATGATTCACGAATGCTCTCGTCAAACATTTCGACACTTCTATTATTAATTATGGTATACGAATAAAGCTAGCTGAGAATAATGTGTGTAAACAGTTGTACAGAAGTATTCAAATTCATAACGAGAATTGGTACGGTATTTTGCTATGAACTTATTCTTTTTACGAGTGAATGATGAACCTTAACAAAGATACCACCACATCCATTTGAGCAGTAAAGAATCTTTCATCCACATGCAAGCCAATGTGTGGTCCCATGATTTCAGGTTACATTTAGTTGACATTCAGTTCAAACCTAACTTCACCTACAATAACCCGAAACTAATCCTGCTACAACACACTGAGTGTTACTCAATGTTAAGTGAATAAACATGAAACCTTAAACCATCTTTTATAATCGTATCAATGTACACCAAGATGGTGAGCCACCTAGAATGGTGGCCACATTGCAAACCTGACTGTTAGAATTCAATCTGTCACAAAGAAAGAACTAGGCGAATCAAACTAGTTACTAGTGCCCAATCAAAGTATCTACTACAGTCCTACAGGAGGTCAGTTGCGAGCTTGAATAGCTCAGTAGTAACGTCTTTGACTGAAGCATTGGGTGATGCGGGTTGGAATCTTAGAAGGGACATGAGTTCCTTCAAGGTTGCAGATGCGCCTTGCTGATGGGTGCCAACTAACAGGAAACCTATGTCCAAGGCTTCCAGTCCATTGCCTCCAACCACCTAATGTCATCAAAACATGAAGCATGTTAATAATTTCTACTAGCATCTAATAATACCATCAAGTGCTTTGCTTAACCTAACCGTTATTCAATTTCATTAGAAGATATTTGTGAAGAAAATGCTATTTTTCTACTTCATGAATGGTATTTCACTGTCTCAGATGAATCACTGTATAGTTTGAAGTCAAATAGACTACCTTTGGTTTCTATGGTCACTTTAAGTATTCCAGATCTCTTTTCACAATTTGCGAAAGACTTCCGTGAATTTTCTCATTTTACTTGAAAAGATACTTATCAAGATTGCCATGCCTAGTAAGCTGCCTGAATATCACGTCCTGAACAATTATGTGGAAGAGAGAAGCATCTCAAATATATAAGCCAAACAGCTTCGAACGATTATGCCAATGAGAAGTTGGTCATAGGAATTATTAAAAAGGCGGTTACAGCGAAGAAAACGTTTTTTCTACGAAGTCATCAACTAGGCTGTACATTTGTGCATTTATAGTGAACAGGTGAGAAAGTTCCAGAATTATTTCCAGTCAAAGGTCAAATTAATAAAATTACTAAGTGTAATAAACAGAAGATATGTAGTGGTACTATTCTGAACTATTTCAAGTCAAAAGCTGAATTAATAAAATTATAAAGTGTAGAAATCAGAAAGATCGGGTAGAAAAGAAATAATAAGGTTGTAACTATTGCAAAACTTGATCATATCTAGAAGTTACGGATTAAGGACGTAGTAATAACAAAATAGGTAGGAAGATCGGACACATAAAATTAATTACAAAACAGCAACTTAATCTAGTAATGCAGAAAGGAATTAAAAATATTAAAAAAAAACAGGAATAAAAGGAAACGTTGCATAAGAAAGGTAACAGGGTAATCACTGCTATTAGGACTAATTTTCCATGATAGCCACGGTAGGGACAACGGTTTGACGTATTTCTTTTGAACACATTGAGTGGGCTTGAGTTTTGGATCACTGGTGCCTCAGCTATTCCTATATGCTTTGATTCGTTTGATCGGATTTGTATATGACTTTGAAAGACTTATTAAATGGATTTGAATGTCCTGAACTTACCAGATGTTCTGCTACCAAACTGTGCGTTCTTTGTTTGCTAACCATGCTGGATAGTGTTCCCGAGCGCGTTTTACAAGCGGACTCATGGTACCGCCAATGTACTCGACTTCACACGAGTAAATCAACTGATATTTTCATGCGACGGCTTGTGTTTCACGTGGTGGTTGAGCAGTTTCTTTCTCTCCACTTACCTACGAGTTAGGCTTTCTTCATCAGCTTATGTGCAACTGAAGTGTATAACTTGGTAACATCAAATGATGTCACAGAATCCCTCATCACCCTGGCAGACAATCCTGATTGTTGCAGATTCCTTCAAATATGTTATACATGAGGTTGTTGTGCGTGGAATGAATGATTGGAAGTGGAATATCTGATTTGTGTAATTTAGATGTGCCATATAATCGACAATAAACACTTACGTAAATCTATTTCGTCATTGATTTTATCACACGTTGCCAACTGAGTTTTATTAAACTGGGATATCTGTCATTCCACACTATAGTGAAGATTGCTTTTCCATATCTTGAGTGTCATTAGTCGATGAATCATTTTTCTATGCCTGTCGACATGACATTGAGAGTAATTGGAAAGTTGTTGTGAAATGGATTTCTCAAGTGTGTGATTTAGTATATAAGCTCAAATGTGGAGAGTGTACTCAGAGATCAATTAGAGCAAAGCAAAGCAACTCAAAGAAATGCACAAAGCCATCTTGATATCCTGCTTAATTCTTCAACTGACTGCACTGTTTACCAATGCTCAGGACACTGATGAATTGAAAAAGATTTTCGAATTTCACAATAAAGTAAGACGTTCTGCTCTGAATGGTGAAATACCGAATCAACCTAAAGCAAAGCAGATGCCTGAGTTGGTAAGTCAGACTATTCACCACATGACTTTTCAAATTCATGCGCCACTAATATGGACGTGTTGTTCACTGTTTATTTATTCAATCTAATCTCGTTCGATGTAACAGGGTTGTTGGCTTAGTAGAGACAGAGCTATTCGAAATGTAATTCTTTCACATGACGTTTCTCGAGATTCTCCAGTCTACAGAATTAACAAATAGCAGAGTTGAATTGAAAGTGAAGAAGCAAGTCCCCACCATCGGACTTACTTAGAACTTCGACAAAATATCTAATTTACATAAACGACGGTATCGTTCATATTACCCAACCAAGTCAATTGCTGTTATTTTGTTGACTGTTATTTAAAGCTGTATTTTATTAATGGGTTTAAAAGTGATTAGTAATTGACAGTCATTCACTGATCATCTTCCTGGATGAAAGATATAGGATAATCATGACATACTGGTGATTGATGTTTTGAAAAGAGCAGCACTGTTTTAACTCCTTTTTTTGCATATTCTGTCTAGAAATGGAGTGTAAATTTGGCTGATATAGCTCAAGAACACGTTGATAAATGTGTGCTGGAAAAAAGCAAACTTGAAGAGATATTCATTGAAAATTATGACAAAGTGGGTCAAGCTGTAGCAGAACATGAATCAATTCAAAAGTATGTACATTTTGCTGTCAGTAAAACGTTTGAACATTGTGGAATAGATCAAACTTGTTATAATTTTATTCCAATAGTTTACACATAGTGATATGTTTTTTGTTTTTAGTAACATTTTAGCAAATACTGCCTATGGTCAAACCAGCTGTTGGAATTGTTTTGTTTTTAATTAACACTTTTATGATTTGTACTCATATATATTAGGTTCATTCTATGTTCGTCCATTTTTGTGTATCTAGAATTATATACCAGGATGTTGACAGTTCTGCTGAGTCATCCTTGTTACATTTATTCGGTGGGACTTATTGACTCTACATGTATACAAAAAAATTTGCTTGCTTATTTGCTTGGTTACGATTTATCGTAACAAGCAGATCACATATTGTGGTTGGAATAACTTGGTCTCCGAAAAGAAACTACAGTGAAATGTCATCATTCAAACTGTGTAGATTGCGAATCGCTAGCCAGTTTGGGAATTGTGAATTTAATATAGATCCTGTTATTAGTCCTTCTTTCCATTTGTTCATATTCGATTTCAGAATACAAATACAATTCCTTAGGTCAACCTCTGATGATAAAACTTGAATTAATACAAGGTCTTGCAGGCAGAATACTCAGACTTACAACAACACCAGATGACTAACGAAAAGAAATAAACGTCTTACTCAAAATGTTATTTGGTGAAAATTACCAAAAAAGAATATATCGGAGATAATATAAAGAAGAGGGTAAAACCAGAGAATGACAAGAAAGAGGCCTGCAAACAGTCACAAACTTGATCCATCAGAGGCAATTCGAAGAAACCTTAAAAATATTAGGATTCGCACCATATTCAAAGCAACAAATCCAATTAGAAATGGAATAAACCAACTAAAGAATTCAATAAAAATGATGAATGAGAGTAATGTAATTTACAAAATATCTTGTGCTAATTGTCTGACTAAATATGCATGTCAAACGTCTAGATTACTCGAAATCAGAGTGAACGAACATAATTTTTTAAGCGCCAACCCATAGGAACACAAGCGTCCACTAATTCAGAAAGAAGTTCATCTATAGCTGCACAAAACAATTCCAACAGATGGTGTGATCACGATTAGTAATTTTACTCATAAAATTATCAAAATAAAAAACTTATCATTGTGTGTAAACTCTTGAAATATAATTATGATCATTATTTTACGAGATGATCACAGAATGATATCGGTTAGAGAACCATTGAAAACCAGCACCGGAATACTGGACAGCTGTTTCATCCTAGTCTGGGAATCATCAGGAGTACGCACCCACTGATGACTTTGCTACAGTGTGGAGTTTCCTGGAGTTCTAGTGAGAAGTCGTGACCGGTGATGTCCATCCAGATGTCCAGTGTGAGGATGGATGTCCCACCTACGACATTGATTGGGGTCGTGCTGAATCATGAATTGGTAAAATTTAGAATTCATGCACTGGCCATTCAGTTGGGTCCCAGTGGCTGAATGTTATACGAACTTGCCTTGTAACTGGAAGGTCCTGGATTCAAACCTCAGATGGGGTGGGTGAGTACTGCCGATGATTACCAAACTAGAATGAAACAGCAGCTGTCCAGTACTTCCTGGTTTTCAATGGTTCTCTAACTGATATCAATCCGTCATCATCTTGTAAAAACAAAACTAATCTTTACAATTAAAACAATTAGTCCCTTTGATAAATTTGAACAAGACATTAGGAAGACAAATTTCGCGAGATGATATCATTTCGTAGTTTCTTCATTGTTAACCATGTTGGTTGTAAAGCGGTTGTAAAGAAACTACGAAATGATATCATCTCGCGAAATTTGTAATCTTTACAAACCAACTATAGAAAATATAATCAGTGTGCATAATTTCACTTGTTCTAATTCTACCATCTCTATGTTTTAGAATACTAGATACCTGGTATGATGAGCACAAAGGATACAAGTTTGATGAAAATAAATGTTCTTCAGAATGTGGCGCTTACAAGCAGGTATGTCTAGTTTTTCCATGATACACAATCTCTAATACACAATCACTGCAACACGGAAAGTTTAAGCGAGTTATATTTTAGACTTGTTACATATTTCAGTTGCATATTAAGTGAGTATGAGTTTTATATATCCAAACCAAGTTCACTTTTGACGGTTTGAAAAAATTTGGGCATTGGGTATGTGATATTCATTCTAATAAAGGTTTTTGTATTTCCCAATGAATGAAAAACAAAACGATATTGTCATTGTTACTGACTTTTATCTATTTGATGGTAACGGCTTTATCAAAGTATTATCAAACTGGAATTTACAAATTCTCAGCATATATATATATATATAACAAAGAGTTAAGGGCTGAGAAAATAGACTTAGGGCACTGGGTTCGAGCCTCGGTGGAAACATCATCACTCACTGAGAAATGCAGGTACATCCAGTTGACGAGTCCCAAATAGGACGAAATGCGCATCCTGGATTCCACTGCTAGCCACCATCCACCAATTGTATACAAATCAAATTCCCAGACATCGTCGAAGCATCTGCACAAGAAGACGACATGTCAACCTGAGACCGAGCACTTCGGTCCAATCAATCGACGGGAAAATCAAGAATTCAATTCAATAAGACTTAGGTCAAGTTAAAGGGACATACTGAAAGTCAAAATAAAATGAAAATCAATCACTAAACCAAGTAACTAAGGTAATAGTACATCTGTAATGATATCAAAATAAAGTTTACTAACTTGATCATCGTTCGTCTGTCTGGGGTCGTTTTCTGTTGTCAAGTTGGTCAATTGGTAAAGATAACAAAATCAAGTGTAGATTGTTGGATTATAATTTTACACACTGATCAAATCGGTGCTCAATTATTTTGCAACCATCCGGGCAAATCTTGATCACAGTTCATATGAAGTATGAGTTTTAGTTATTTTATTTCGATGGGATAAAGAATTTGAATAAGGCCTTAAGAAGACAGATTTCCCGAGATGATACCATTTGGTAGTTTCTCTACAACCGCTTTACAACTAACATGGTTAACAATAATAAAATAAAGATCATGACAATTACTCAGTTATGTAAAAAAAAAACAAAAGTACATACTAATGACCAGTTATATTTAAGTTGGACAAGTAGTCCATGGTAGGTGAAGATTGAAGTCTATTGATTTTTGCACACACAGTGTAGGCTGTATGTGATTAATCCAAAGTGCTTCCATCACCTTCAGTAACCAACCTTGAATTATAGTTATGTGAAATAATTGTGAAACAGTTATTAATTAATATTGATTTTGTGACCTGACATCGATAAGTGTTTTGCAATGGATGATGCTGGATTTATACTCAGATTAATCGCATTGGGATTTTCTGTATGAATTGGCAATCTTCAGATGATCTTGTCACAAATGCACTCATCATTCCAGACATGTTAGTCGGTTATCCTCATAACGACTTGCCCATAATCAAAAATAATTACAAACTGTCTCTGTCAGCTGTGTTCGGAAATATAAATTTTTGATGAACTGGTAGATAAGAGTTTCAAACTCACATGGTTATAATTCAGCCATAAAATAACTTTTCTCGCTTTGCACTAAACTAAATTTCGGTCTTTACCATCCGGTCAGAATACATAGACATATATTCCAAGTCATATTACAAAATATCAGCCAGACGAACAGTTGGAAACAAAGGAATTTTAACCAATTGAGTACTCACTCACCTGTGGTATTTACTCATTAGATAATTGGAGACAATATGTATTCATTTATATGACAAAATGTAAATTTCACATCATTTGTATTTCATGTCATACTCATAACTCTTTCAAATCTATGCAGATCGTCTGGGCTGCCACGAAGGAAATTGGCTGTGGTTACAAACTATGCGGAAAGAAACACATAGTTGTGTGCAACTATGGACCAGGGTGAGTTAGAGTCTTCGTCAAGGCAGTTTTCAAATGATAAAGTAACAGTGAACGGAAGTGAATCAAATCAGCACACCAACAAAATTATGAGGACCATTAGTTATCAACTGATTATTATGTGATTATTGTCTCCTTTAGTTCTTAGAGGAACACGTCTCCATTGCATTCGATTCTCTGACAACGTTTTCACCTGACTCGGCGTCTGCCTAACCCTTCCACCTCCTATTCCCATGACCTCCTCCATGTAACCCTCGCACCAATGCCCAAATCTCCGCTTCCCATTCGGATTCCACTAAAGGGCTTGTCTAGCAATGTCACTTGATGGTTTCCTCAGAGTATGGCCAATCCATCTCCATTTCTTCCTGCCTATTTGTTTCACAATCGGTTCCTGCTGGGTTGGTTCGCTCATTTCCAGAGATCCCTGTTGCTGATCTTTTCTGGCCGGCCATGTGATCTTGAGTATTGAGCGAAGACAGCTGTTAATGAAGGTCTGAAGTTTGTTTGAGGTGTTCTTTATGACGCGCTAAGTCTCTGATCTGTATAGTAAGTAGCACTGACTGACTTCACATTGGAGTTGAAAGTCCGATTGTTGTTGTTGTTGAGTGCTGTTGACCTCCACACAGACCAGAGAGAAATGAAAGTTTGCATAGCTTTCTTGCTCTTCGCTTTGATGTTCTCCTCAGTTCCGTTCGCCTGTAGTTGAAACAACGCTTCAACTGAAGCAGTAGATAATTGGGTGTCAGTTAAGGTCAATGGAAGTAACTCAAATATAAAAGTAGTGTAAAATACGCAATGCAGGCAGTATTCGCTATTCTCGAGTGGAAGGTAATTTGATCCAATATGTTTTGTGTTGTGCAAACCTTGATTTGTACCGGAAAATGATAAGATTTCCATCATTAATTGTCTATATCATCTCAGCAGTATTCAATCATAGTTTGGATATGAATTTTATCTACAGAATGAAGGGAATGATTTGTAATGAAACCCAATGATAAACTGAATATTGTCGTTCATTCTGATTTAGCAAATGCCGCTAACTACTAATTTTGACTCCGCAGATAATCACTCACAAGAGAAATCAATGTCGTGAAGTACTGAAATCTTCATGAAAGTTATTTTTCATTTATACTCGACTAAAATAAGTGAACTCTGATGACTTACTGGCTTCTCATCTAGATGGCTGGATGATTGTTGAAGGTTAATCTGATATTGTTCGTTTGATGATAGTGGCTTGCAGTGCAATTCAGTGCACGCGTTTCTTATTGCTCGTGACTATTCAGCTGGACGTACCTGAATCCTGATTGAGTCATTTTGTTCTCACTGAAAATCAGGCCCAATACCAACCGATTCATAAGTCGCACCATCATCCACCACAAATCGCTGCACAGCATGAGCCACATCTCGAACAACAGGTATTAGCTGATTATTGATGAAATTATTCAGTATATTCCGTCGATTAATGTTCATTCCACCGAAATGCTTACTTAATTCTAACGACTCCCTAAGATAAGAATCTACCAATGGCGATTTGGGTGCACACGGATGACAAGTATCAACCAGGAGGAGACGCGTTTCTTGGATTACATTTCTAGCCACTATCAATCAAATGGAATATGGGTGTGATTTCTGAAAATCAGGAGTAATTATTTCCTTACCTTATGTCTAACACGCTTATGCATTTGACTTTCTAATCTCCTTCTGAGCTCCAACAGAAATTCAATCTCCCCACTTTCGAAATTTTCCAACATTTCTAAATATGCACTTAAAAACAACATCATGATGCCCTTATTTATTCATTTATTTCAGAGCCGATGAAGGAAAACCTTATGAAAAGGCATAACAACGTAGTGAATGAGTCGAATATTAGAGTCAAATCACAGTTGAAAGTAGCCATGTAATACAACACTCGTGAACCAAATATCAGAACCTATAGATTTTATATGTCGTTTTTCCATCTCACTGAACTCACTATGTACTGTCATTAAACAATACAGGCTTTTGCTCTAAATAAATTTCGATTGACGAGAAATGTGCTTTTTATGCCTGGGAGTTGGGTAAATACATGCCATTATTTTTATGATGATTGCGAAATGTACTAAAAATGTGTTCGGTCAGTAGATTGTTTGTTGAATAGCCACATCAATGCATTCATCGACTTCGACATTTGATTCCTCTAGAATCACTAATAGACCTAAACAGAGCTTTCCTGCATAAAATCTACGCAAACCCCGTTCACATAACATTTGGACACCAGCACTTCGTGAAGCACATTCATATCAGGCACTTCTGTTGTTTTTCACCCGTTTTGAAGTTACACAGAAAGGTTGTTTACAGGAATATCAGAGTGATTTAGGATTTTAATGTAGGTGAACATCATCTTCTGAAGTTTATTACCTTCCTTGCTTGATTCTGTCGCGTTTGAATCGCAGACGAAATGACTGGAACGTACACATAATTTTCCATCATTAAGATTCCTTCACACTTTTACTAGGTCATATAAATAAGGCGAAAATCATTTTACGTCAAAGTAGAGGTCTGCCTGTTTGCGTCGGAATTACCAGAAATCTATGTGAATTAGCTAGTTAATCAGAATTTTGCAGTAAATCAAACTGTCAAAATAAGATGTGTCATTGCTCACAGGTTTGAACTAACTATCCATACAGATGGTCGGAATATATTAGCCCAAATATTTTAATATTATCGTCATGCCAGTAATGGGAAATTATTCTTGAACGTGACTACGCCTACATCTCGTATGATTTGGTGCTTGTAAGTGCAAAGATAATTTTTGAAGAAAGTCAAAATGAGAGGATGACGGACACTGAGCAAATGATATACCCAGGCTTGCTTCCTGTGTAACTACCTACTGTCAGATGAATCCCTCAGAGGTGAAGTTTAGTAGGAACCTCCATAGTTATTCAGTTGATTTGAATTCAAACGAAACACTATTCTGCTCAACAAATAAAAGTGTATAAATTAGCATAATTAAAGAATCAGACTGTTATTCCTTAAGTAACTACGCCTAGTTTGCTAGTTGGCCAATTTTATAGGCGTTCCTTAGCCCTGGAAAAGGAAAGGATGGGAGTAAAGCCAACTACCCTAACCGGGCAAGTCAAACCAATCGGTACATGACCTTCAATGCACAAGAAAATATACAAAAACAAACTCTTTTTCTTTCGATGGAAGCACGAATATGCATAGGCATGTAGAATGTTCATAAAATGTACGAAGCCGGACAGATTGCTCAGATTACCAAAGAAATGAGAAAATGTAGCATAGAAGTGCTAGGGATCTGCGAGAGTGGCTGGAATGAATATGGGCATTTCAAAATTGCTAACTGGTGAGCCAGTGATCTAGTCTGGACAACTTCGAAAACATTGAGGGTACAGCCATCATGGTTTCATCAAAAGCAAATAAATCTCTTTTGCATTGGTAATCAATCTTTCCATACAGGATTATTGCAGCTAGATTCAAGTCAAAAGTAAAGAAAGTTAAAATTATCCCATGCTATGCGCCTACAAACGACTCAGAACAAGACAAGAAGGAAGATGTCTATAGACTACAGCAACTGATAACTGATTATATCCTAGATGGTGACATCGAAATCCTAATTAGGACATATGAATGCCAATCGAGCTGGAAGCAGAGAATATGGGAAGAGAACTCATCAAGGGTCGAGTAGCTCTCTCTCACTGAAATGAGTGATAAAGTAGGACTACTGTCAAACTTCTGAGCCTTCATTGATTTGGAGACTATAGGTAGCGTATAGAAGCACAAAGATATACAAAAAGCGATATGGATTTCACCTGACAGAGGAACCAAAAGAGGAACCAACTCAATTCAAGAAAGTGAAGAAACAGTCTTCTAGACACGAAGTTGAGTAACCGGGCAAATTAACCTGAGATCATTATCTATTGAGAGAAACTTTCACGACCAAGCTGACAGCCTTCATAACAACTGGAGACAGAACGCAATTCAAGTTCAACTGAAAGAAGAAATTACAATGACAAATCCAATGCAGCCATCAATGTAAGGTTAGAGACACTAAGTAACATCAGTGATTCATGAATAATCCCTATGTGTGCATTAATGAAATCAAAACACGTAGTTCAACGAAGTGACGAGTTCGTTTTCATAGATATACAACCGCAAATATATATATATATATATGACATCAACGAAGAAACCTGGGTGGAATCACACTAATACTCTATGAAAGTGATGTTGAAATTGAGAAAGAGAAGGTAAGACGAAGAATACTTCAACACAGACACCTAGGATCAAATAGAAGAGAGGCGGATCGTAAACGGAAGGTGAACCAACGCAGAGATGGACAACAGTAGAAGAAGTTGAGTTCAACCTACAACGCACTGAATAGAGGATTGAAGAAAAGTACTATGAAGGACAAAATACACTTCTGAAACACATTGGCGACTGAAGCAGAACAGGCTGGCCGCAGTTGAAACAGACCTCAGGACATTTTATCAGATAACCATGTCTCTGTGCAGGGAGTGACCACACAGTTGAAAGCAGTATAACATGGTCAGAGGACACTAATCATCATGGAGGAGGAACATAGAAGACAGTTGGCTTACCACTTCAAAGGTCTCTCAGATAGACCATCACCTGCAGGTCATCCAGAAATACCACCAAGATGGTGTGCATAGAACTGTTATTGGACACCAATTCTGCAACAGGAACAAATGTTTTGAATGCAATAAAATTAATGAAAGCCACCCGGAAAGACCACAGGACGAGATGTGATCCCTCCTGAAGCAAAAAAACGAATCAGGAAACCTCGAGAGAAATTCTGGCGCTACTCCTACAGAAGGTTTCCAGGAAAGGAGAGATAAGTGCTGATTGGAAGAACGGCTATCTTGCCAAACTACCAAAGAAGGGGGACTTAGGTCTCCGCAAGAACTCTCTTCTCCACCCCAACTAAAATGCCAAGTCGCGTCATCCTGGAGAGACTAAGGTATGCAGTAGATTCAGAACTCTGCCCGTCGGAACAAGCTGGATTCTGGAAAGGCAAATCATGTGCTGATCAAATCGCAACTCTACGCATCATCATTGAGCGGAGCATGGAATGAGAATCAAATCTTCTCCTGTTTCATACACTTTGAAGAGGCCTTCGACAGCGTCGTCAGAGAAGTAATTTAGAAACTATTCCAACACTGCTGTATGCTCCAGATCTTTATCAAACTCATTCAGCAACTATATGAAAATGCTACATGTCAAGTGATCCACAACAAAAATCTCAGCAAAACGTTTGAAGTGAAGACTGGAGCAAGGAAAGACTGACTAATGTCACCGATGATATTCCTAAATGTGATTAAATGGATCATTTGTCAGACCGTGTATGAGAGCAAAAAGACAGGAATACGGTGTACCAATAATCGTGAGATTCGTCTCCTTAGGGATATAACAAGTTAGACCACTCAAGATTTATGGAAAAATTCTTTTTAGCATTGACAAGGTTTCATGTCTCTTGACATTCGGTTTGATATCTCTGCCAATAAATCTGAATTAATAAATCCATTTCTAATAAACATTTCCCTTAGAAGGTCTCATTTTCTAATTCATCAGGCTTGCAAGTACTTGGTGCGTGAGTCGTGCAGGATATAATTAAGTTGCATTTTTGTTCAATCGTTATTCAGCTGTCGAAATTTGTCAGTTGACCGTTTAATGTATGTTCTATAGCCTCATCTCGTTAGTAAGTTTAACATCAAGAAAGGGAATTTTCTATTGATTTTGTATGGACTAAGCAGTAAACTCAGAATTTATATGGAATATCGAAATAAAAGTCCAAATTACTCTATGCTCGGTAAAAACTATTGACAGAATTATGAATTATCATGATATATAAGAGAATTCGCTTACTCGCAAAAAAGATTAAATCCATTTCCACAAATTTAACTAACAATGCAGAGGTACGATTTGAGTTCATGTTTCAAAGGCGATTTCTCCACTAAGTGGTTGAATATTCTCTGAACAACTATGGGGGATTCCTAGAATTTGCAAAGTATCCAACTAGCGAATTAGTATGATGAGGAGACGGTTACGGAGAGGGAGAAGGCTAGGCGTGAAGAAAGGTGTGAATATTTCAAACTTTCAAAAAGGTTACGATTAAAGAGGGAATCCTAATTAAAGAGAAGCAACAATTTGTCCGTTTTTTAACTTTTAACAAGAGGTGTATAAAATCACCATTCTGGACTCTTTAGTGTGCCAATTCAGGGTGAATTGTGTCGCTGGATGGTAGTTATTCAATGCATGTAAAAAGGATTAATGTCATTATCATAATGACAGATAATGGAAATGTCGTCTATGCACTTTGTATATAACTGACAATCGACCATTTTCTAGGCTTACTTAGTAACAATCTGGTGACAATTGATCTAATGTGGACTCCATTGCCATCCGATTCCTTTGCCTGTTAACCATGTCACTCAATATGAACTATACGTTAACAGGGTATACCAGCAGTTGTCTTTTCAATTTCGTTTGTGGTATTCCGATGTTTAGCTGATTTCCATATATATACTTGCATATGAAATAGACGGCTTCCCTGAGTGGAACGATGCTCAACAGTCAGTCGATGTTTAGGGACAGCTCATATCTTGTAAGTGTTCAAAAAATTGAAGAGTATCGCAGAGCGAGTAGATGCAGATTGGTTTCCTAACGTTCTCTAGACCAGTAGCCAATCATTCTGCAAATGAATAATAAGACATCTGTATATATCCACAAATATACGGAGTGGGATACTAGCTTTGTGTATCTTTATCAAAGGACGAATCCTTGCCATCATTATGCCCTTTGGTCTGATCCAACACATTCGCGGTTGACAGAATGGTCGGTTTTCATTCTTCTCACGCTAAAAAAATTGTCAGAACGAGTTACTGGTAGATATCTGCTATTCCACAGGTGTTTAATTATTCTTAATGTGGCGCAGTTAGATTTCTAAAGACTTTGCATTTGTGTTAAGATTCTGATAGCAGCAATCAGTAATGTTCGATTCATTTCGCTGAAACTCCACGTCATAGACTTGGACTAGATCATCACTTTGTCCGATTACATTTTCATATTGTATGTGAGTACGAAGCTTGTTAACACTGAGAGCGATTTCACAGAATTTTGAATCCATGAATAAGGTATTCAAACTGCAAATCAGATAAAGACATTGAAGAGTAAATAAAGTCAAATTTTTTATGGCAATCGGGAGGTTTACTTCAAGGTTTGATAGATTTCAGGTAACTGGCTGGTAGCTTTGTTAACGTTTCCTGCGAGTCTCTGACGTTCATCGGAGATCAAACAGTGAAAAGTAGAAGATAATATGAGGAATGTTCCACTCGAATACTGGAATACGATAATGAACAAAGTCAGCATAGATCAATGCATAATGTCATTAGTGACTTCGCAATGGAATAAACGTGATTCGTAATGTCATAATGTCTTACATTACCACTCCTAAAACTCATAACTACTCACGCAAGCATTGAGGAAGGGGAGATTCACGCTCACTACAACACGCTACACAAAATATTGCAGAAATCCACGGTGTTCCTTGAATGTTGGCGGGCCATCCACAAACGGCTGCCATCTAAGCAAAAACATAAAAATAAGCAGTTCAGCGTAGAGGCTTTTTGAATCAACTTATGGTTAAAGAAAATGGGGTCGCTGAAATACTAATTCTGGTATAAAATAATGACAAAATTTGCTAATAGGTAAATTTCACGCCTGACTAAATGCTCATTTGTTTCTTTAAGGAAAACGAAAAGGCTTAGTGTAAGCATACCTCAGTGGTTGATGCTTTATAACATGAGGTGAAATTCCTATGGCTTTCTTCAATTTCACTTCTCTGTATTGTGTCAAGTTTTGTTTAGGAATGAGGCCTGTCCTGAAAGGAAGGAAAGCAGAGTGCGAGCTCCGAAAGAGTGTGAATTTTGTACAGTGTCAGAAATCAGAGTGCTCGGAACAAGCCCTCACTAACAAACAGTCTATTTATCATCGTTGATATCGAGTCCTGATAGAATATGTGACTCTTGAACCAAAAAATGGACACTTGGGTGGCTTGCTGCAAGGAAATAGAAGAAAAAAGTGCTAAATACTCTTTCTACAATAGTTTTCATTTTGCTACATATGTATATATACAAGAGGCATAACCAGTATCATTTAAGAGACTGAGATATGCACATTCACGGGTTGATGTGCTGAAAATAGGTAAAAAAACAAGAAATTCAAGGTGGGCTAACAACACAACGTCATGGAGCTTCTGAATATGTAATAAATACCCACACCCTATTACTCATCCTGGATGGAACAGTTGCGATTAACCAAACTCATCCAGTATGAGTTAAGCAACAATATTTGTGCATGACGAAACTTGAGGCTTCTTTTCTCTTGAGCTCCTTCTACTCAGTATTCTGTTAATATTACCTAGCAGTGATGTAAACTAAATAAGCGTATTATGACCATGATGAGTACGCATGGAGGAATAATAAGAGTCAATACTGTTTGTTTCTCAAACATCTAAGTTTACGATATCATCATAATAGGAATAGAGACTAGGGATTCAGCCAGATGATCATCTGTCATCACGATGCATAGAGATACCACTGTACCATATAAAATTGATTTCATTCTGAAACAAAGTAGAGGTTCTACGACACAAAATATGACTAAATCCACAGTATTTACACATGAGTGGGAGTGAGAAAATTCAATCTAACATCTGACTCTAGGAGATACATGTTGCCAGTCAACTTGTGTGTTCCTATTTAGTGAACCTTATTTTCAAGCTTCTTCTATGCATTTGAAGTGATGAACATTCAGTTTCACATGTCCAAGTGATAAAATGTTCTCAGGGTATTTCAGTTTTGTATACCACTGAAAAATGGGGCCACTTAATATCATGACAATATTTGAGTGGTGATGTGTTCGTAGGAAGATTTTTCCCACTTCAACTTGATTTCGTGTCAAGTAATAAATTCTTACTGCTGACGTTAAGACACTCTAAGTGGCTGTGTCACTTTTCACGAATTCAGTTTGGTTATACCCCTTTGATCTTTTGATGGAAAAAGACTTTTGAAGGTTATACACTCTTCAAGAAACCTCCCTCACGATTATTCAGCATACAAAACTGCACATCGCTGAAAAATATTCGCTGGTTTTGAATATCTCCTTTTAGGTTAAAAGGTGTAAAAGTTAGGGACAGAAGCATTATAATCAATCAGAAGTTAAATATTGCCCCACAGAATGGATACTGAGCTGAAGATTGGAGAAAATTCAGCCTTTACATTCCTATATGTAAGGTGTCACATCAACTCCCTGGCTTTGTACACCTTTGATTTGAAGCCAACCAATTTTTCATCTGATCAGTATATGACAATAGTTATTCTCCACTCAACCTCTCCAAGGTGATACATTCACAACGACTGACAGACTAGATTATACAAGCAACTCCATGAATTAATCATTACTATTATTATGATTGCTCCGAATATTACCCACTAATTCGTATTCATTTATTATTATTCCCATTCTCATGGGTTCCAAGAGAAATCCAGGCCTACAGATGCACATCTGCATTTTGTCCTAGTCTACGTAGTCCTTCTTAGCTGGCCATACGACCGCACAAACTCTTTTATCTCCACCTCACACCATCTCCTTCATATTACCTACAGACATAAGTTGCTTCCCACTCGGTTTACACTCGATGGCCTGACACGCAATGTCACTTCATGATCTCCTCAGCGTGTGTCCCATCCATCCTCCCTTTCTTTTCCATACTTATCGAGTGACAGGCTGTTGCTAGGTTCGTTCCTAGACTTTCTTGTTGCTAATTCATTCTGGCCATATAATCTTCATTATGGGACGAAAGTGGATGTTGATGAACGTCTGCAACCTGTTCAGAATCCTTTGTATGGCACAAGTATCATGTTCATGATCTACAAAGGAGAACTGACTGACTTAACACTGATGATCACAATCCAAATCTCGTTCTTCATGCAGCTGAATGCAGAAGATTTCCTAATCGATTTCAAAATTATGAAGGTATGTATTGACTTTCCAATTCTGGTTTTGACAACCTTATCCGTGCTGATTGCTGCAGTTTAAATGATGCTTCATAGATAAATGAAGGAGGTGATCACTTTCAAATTTCATTCTGCAGTAATTACGTGGTTTCACTACTTCTGCAGTCGACACGACTTCTTGATTCATGCAACTTTGACACTTTTCATTCCTAACCAACTGAAGGCACTCGGACTAATTAGTGTCTGACTGAACATTTGTCAGTATATCAGTTTCTAACTATAAGAATGTTATGGTCAATTTTCACTCAATCGTGATTACACGTTGTACTGTGCATGCAATTGGACAAAATCAAGAATGGAATCATTCAGAGCATATCCAGTTATTGCATGGCACAGTCACAGTTAATATAGTAAAACGTCTCGGCCTAAATGTCTTAAGCAAATATACATTGGAATCTTTAAAGCTATCAGAATGCGAATTCCCACATATGTGTGTGGTTTATCGAAAACACATAAACTCAGTTATCCTATACGTCCTATATCGTCCTATATCAATGGGATATTCTTGTAACCATTCTTTCATTATGCTTTTAAGAGAGCTGAGAAACAACAGAAGTGACTGGATTACACATGTTTGACACAATACTGAAGAACACATTTTAGGCGATCAGAGTTTGTGTAGATTTTGTGCAGGAAAACGCAGTTCCTGTCTATTAGTGATTCGAGAGGAATCAAGTTCCGAAGGCGATGGATGTATTTATGTGGCGAACTAACAAACAATATACTGGCTGAACAAATTTTGAGTGCATTTCACAATGATAGCTGTCAAACTCTTAGTTATAAAAGACACTTTTATCGTGAATCGAAATTTATTTAGAGCAAAAGCCTGTATTGTTTAATGACAGTACATAGTGAGTTCAGTGAGATGGAAAAACAACATATAAAATCTATAGGTTCTGATATTTGGTTCACGAGTGTTGTATTACATAGCTACCTTCAACTGTGATTTGGCGCTAATATTTGACTCATTCACTACGTTGTTATGCCTTTTCATAAGGTTTTCCTTCATCGGCTCTGAAATAAATGAATAAATAAGGGCGTCACAATGTTGTTTTAAAGTGCATATTTAGCAATGTTGAGAAATTTTGAAAGTGGGGAGATTGAATTTCTGTTGGAGCTCAGAAGAGAACTAGAAAGTCAAATCCACAACCATCTACGTGAAACACTATTATCTACTTCTAGAATTCACACCTGTATATTGTCCACTTGATAGTCGCTAGCAGTGTAATTCAAGATACGTCTCCCCCATCAGTTGATATCCGTCAGCCATGTGTACCCACGTGGTCATTTTTGGATTCGCAGCTCAGAGAGTGGTTAAAAGCGACTGAGCACTTCGATGTAATTAGAATTGATCAATAGAATATACTGAATAATTTCAGCAGAAATTAACTGACACCTGTTGCTCAAGATGTGGCTCATGCTGTGGAGTGTTATCACGTAGTTGACGCAGAGAATTTTAAATTTATGTGTAATGAGTCCCATTGTTTCATTGTAAATATACCATGATTCGCTTACATGCAGCTGAGTACTCACAAAATGCGTCTTACTTGAGTCCTGAATTGCACTGCTAGACACTATCATCTAACAAACTATGTCGTATTAAACAAACAAACATCATCGATCCATCCTGACGAGAAGCCGGCATGCTAACAGTATCCGATCGCTTTGTTCGAATATAAATCAGTTTGCCGGAAATGCATGGCAACTTCAAGAACTATTTCTATTTTGCGTGACATTGACGTCTCTAGTAACGAGATGTCTGAAGCCTCACTATGAGTAGTCAAAGGCGTTCAGTTAATACGCAGTTATTCACTGGGTTTTATCACAAATCATTCGGCCTTTTTCACGGGCTTCTGTACATAAAAATTAACAAGCATACTGTATTGGAATGCAGCTTAGATGCTATCGACAGTTAAAGAGCGGATTTTGATGATTCTGAGGTAAAACTCAGGCATTGCAGAACATAAACCAACATATTTGCTTCAAATAAGCTTCCACTTAAGAGTCGGCGATTCAGTGTGCTTCAAATATTTTACAACAAGTCCGTCATTCAATGACTTCTGTCGACCATGATTTGTCACCGGTTAATTCTGTTTCCCTCGATAACTACTAGCGCTCGTAATTTGGCGAGAGTGTCGATTCGATTCAGTTTCTATTCACTGTTACTCAGTTATGCGAAAATTGCCTTCATGAAGGCTGTAACTCACCCTGGTCCATAGTTACATACAACTGTCTGTTTCTTCCCACATAGTTTAGAACCACAGCCGATGTCCTTTGTGGCAGCCCAAACGATCTGTGTAGATTTGAAAGAGTTGTGTATATGATATGAAATACAAATGATATGAAGTTTACATTTTGTGAAATAAATAATTTGGAGGTGGTGGTGTTTCAAGTGACCTAGTGACATTCGTTTTATGACTTCAATCTGCAGATTTTGACAGATGTTTTATACATGGAACTGATAAATGAGATGTTTTGTTGTGAATTAACAGAAGTTCTGGTTCATAGACCATTGGATTGGCTTGCACTGGCTGACTGTGCAACGGACATGACTTTTAACCTGAATGTTTTTTTTGTTGGATCATCGATGGGTTGATCAATACGTACTGCTGATAAGTACATAACTAGAAGGAAATAGCTCTCCAATACGCCACGGTTTTCTATGGTTCGCTGATTGATGTCATTTTGTGGTGTGTGTGTGTGTGTCTATCTATTCTAACAGTACTGTGAAGAGTGTATCTGGGTTTCGTGCAAAGCAATGGAGGTTAATCATTGTCCGGATTCTGGTCGTCTGAGTGTGTATCGCGAACTTCTTGATTTCTCAGAACCTCTCTGATTATGAACACGGAATTCAGTAAAAGCCTATTATAAGCTTTGGCTGCATGGACCTCCTTACGCTGAAAACTGTCCAACTTATCTGAACAATTGTTGTATTTGTGACAAGTTCAGCAGGAGTTGTTCAATTCATTAACTCACTGAAATAAACTAACTATAACTCATACCCCCCTAATGTGCATATGAGGCAAATCGCGATGACACAACAGGTTCAACAGGTTACTTGCTTCAGTCTTCCTTGTTCCAGTGATTACAGTAGAGATTGTGTGTCGTGGAAAAATGAAACATACCTGTTTGTAAGTGCCACATTCTGAAGCACATTCATTTTGATCAAACTTGTATTCTTTGTGTTCATCATACCAGGTATCTAATATTCTAAAACATAGAGATGTGGTGTTACAACAGGGGAAATCGCACATACTTTTGAATTGATTGATGTTCTGCTACAGCTTGACCAACTTTGTCATATTTGCCAACGAATAGTTCATCAAGATTGCTCTTTTCAAGCACACATTTTCAACGTGTTGTTGAGCTAACTCTGCCAACTTGTCATTCCATGTCTAGATAGAATATAAAAACAGAATAAAAACAGGTTTTGTATTTCTAAAGCACTAATCAACAGTATTTCATGACCATCCTATGATCTGAGTCTATGAGGGTGATCAGAGACAGTCCAACATTCACTATTCCCTTGATACTCAATAAAACTGCATAGGTATATAAGTATGCGAGCTCAATGAATAATTATTGGATTAACATTTAGGGACATGGTTCGGTATGTTTCACGATACCCTGGTCTATGTAGATTTGATATTTCATCGAGACTTCAACTTGGTCAGATGATGGAGGCTCTCATCTTCACTTTCAAATCAACTCTGTTGTCACTTAATTTTATAGACTGGGGAATTAGTAGAATCTTCATGCGAAAGAACTCCATGCTCAAATAGCTCTATCTATACTAAGAAAACGAGCCTGTTACGTCTAACGAGATTAGAATGAGTGTATGAACAGCGAAAAACACGTTCATGTTAGTTGCGCATAAATGTGAAATGTCATGTGGTGAATAGTCTGACTTACCAACTCAGGCATCTGCTTCGCTTTAGGTTGATTCGGTATTTCACCATTCAGAGCAGAAAGTCTCACTTTGTTGTGAAATTCGAAAATCGTCTTCAATTCATCAGTGTCCTGTGCATTGGTGAACAGTGTGTTCAGCTGAAGTATTAAGCAGGATATCAAGATGGCGTTTTGCATGTCTATGTGTTGCTTTGCTTTGCTCTGATTGACCTCTGAGTACACTCTCCACATTTGAGCTTATATACTAAATCACACACTTGAGAAATCCATTTCACAACAACTTTCCAAATACTCTCAATGTCATGTTGACAGGCATAGAAAAATGATTCATCGACTAATGACACTCAAGATAAGGGAAAGCAATCTTCACTATAGTGTGGAATGACAGATATCTCAGTTAATCAACTTGAGTTGTCTACGTGTAATAAAGTCAATGGCGAATTAGTTTTTCCGTAGGTGTGTTTATTATCGACTATATGACAGGTGTAATTTGGACAAATCAAATATACCTCTTCCAATCATTTATTTCACTCACAACAACCTCAATGTACAACATATTTGAAGGAATCTACGGTAAATAGAGTTGTCAGTCAGTATAATGAATATAATCTATGAAACAAGCAACTCATTTCTTTTGGAAAGCCAAAATATTCAACTGAACAATAACCGGATTTTAGAATCGTTTGATGTTATGGATTTATACAGCTTGGATTGGTTAAATTTTGAAAAAATCACAATTACAGATCTTTTTATCAGTGATGAGTGCATCTGACAATTGAAATGTATGAATGTGTGGTACTATTCAAATACATAAACCAGGTTACCCCATATGACCAATAGTAGATTTTAGAAATACCCCTACTTATGAATTATCAAAACACTTAGCTCTAATATCACGCCCCATCATAAATCGTTCCAACTCTAGACTAACTAATTCATATGAGATAAAAAATAAACTAAATAACATTCAACTGGAAAATGATGAAACAGTGGTTAGTTTTGATATAACTAGTCTTTATACTAATATACCAGTCAATATGGCCTTAGAAGCAGTTAAAAAGAACTAACTGCGGATCCTGAACTCAGTCATAGGACAAAGCTGCCAACTGAATAAATTATTTCAGGAATTCAGTTATGCCTCACATCTACTATCTTTAAATTCCAAGGCAAATATATATAGACAAACTGAGGGTGTAGCGATGGGATCACCAATATCCCCTATTGTAGCCGACATACTTATGGAAAGCTGCGAAAATATGGCTCTTAATACGTTTAATCCTACTCCAAAAATATGGTGGAGATATGTGGATGACACTTTCACAGTGTTAAAAACAGAACACATCTCTAGCTTCTTGACACATATAAACTCACTTGTGGAGGGAATAAAATTCACATTGGAAGCGGAAAATGAACAAGGAGAATTAGCTATGGTAGATTGTAAAATAAAACGGATGGAAGAAGGCAAACTGCACACTATTGTGTACAGAAAACCAAGTCATTCGAGTAGATATTTAGGCTTTAATTCACCTCCTCCGTTAACTGTTAAGGCAGGCTTATTTAAGTGTTTAACAGACCGAGCAATGGCACTTAGTAGCACAAAAAGACCTAAATGATGAAATAAAACAGGCGGAAGAGGCGTTGGTGGTAAACAACTATCCTTTAAAATTCATTAAGAAGATTGAAAAAGGCCAAAAGAAAAAGAAAAATAATTGTGAAACTAGTAACAATAACATAAATAAGAGAGAATATAAGTCATCTACAGTTAAAGCATATAAAGAGGGGACATCTGATACCCTACGTAGGATTCTAAATAAAACAGGAATTAGGATGCCATTTAAACCTACAAACCCACTCAGGGACAAGCTCTGTAGGTTAAAGGGCATTGTAAGTTGACTGGATTTGTCAAAACAATATAATTTACAAAATACCCTGCAATGACTGTGAGTAAGATCAACTACATAGGTCAAACTAGTAAGTCAGGGGTAGTCAGATTGTCGGAACATAAGAATTTAGCTAAGGTAAGGATGACTGACCCCGAGAAGATAAGTAATTTAGAAAAAAGCTCAGCTATTGCAATGCATGCATTAACACACAACCACACAATAGGGTGGGAGAGGGTTAAAATTCTAAAAAGTAATCTAGATAGGTGGAGAGAGAGGTTGATTACTGAATCCTTGTTCATCAAGTCTACATCAAACACATGCAATAGGATGGATTCGTCACTCATACCCGAAATATGGAAAATACTACTACCAATCAAATCAAGTGAAAATCAATTGAAATTAATGGAACTATGTAAATGAAGTTAGGAAGTCGTGTGATTACCTTGATATGATTATGAGCAAAACATTGTGCTCGAAACATCATCAGTAAACACTACCGTATAACACTGTGAGACTTTATCAAAACAAAAACTTACCCATAATGGAATTACACTCTACCACAGTGCACAAGTTTTATTCTTATATCAATGAAATAATATACTTTGTTGAATTCAGATGGAGCTGATAATGTGACAATATATGAATATATAATAAGGTACTAATGAATCATCTATATGAAGACTAGCACCTAAAGGGATTTATCCTAAAGTAGAACAAAGAAAATGACAAAAAAGCGGAGTATCCAACAGTTGAAAAGAAGAAAGTGTTCATTTGTCTCCCAGTTAAACGAGAAACAGTATTGCAAAAGATTGACAAGAGTACGAAAGGAATAATAAGAAGATGTTTCGGTGCAGCTAAGCTGGTGAGGCTAAAAAGTAATACATTCTGTCTAAGTCAATCGAAACTAGGTAAGTATCGTTCTGAAGTTACCCCCAAATGCATTAATAAATTTTTATGCACCCTCAGAGGCAAGTACATTAGAAGAACAGAAAGAAGTGCTTCAATCCCGTTTTCAGAGCATATTCCAAGAAACTTATGCTTAAAAGGAGGCGGATATTTACAAGGTGAAATTACCAGAAACACCTGGTGGATACAGGTCATTTCATCGAAATTTCCAAATCCCTTCGATTATTAAACATACAGAGGACAGTGAAGTTACTATGATTTGCCGAATCTAGCGTTTCAGACCAAACTTATGCACACAGAAAAAAGATTGTAGTCAGTCACACACTCCATTGGTAACACAATTACTCTGACTATACTGATTAGTCATATACATCAGTGAGCTTAGGTCAATGAGCAAGTTTCCAGTTTGATGAGCTTTAATCTTCTTCAGTTGCTATGTAGACGTACAAGCTAATACTGTTTATTTAAGTTTTTCGTTTTCTGTCTTCTCTCAAGTCCCTTCACTTTTTTCATTATAGTTTCAAAGCATATAATTTGATGCTTTTTTAAATTAACAATTGTAGTGCCATTATTCTGGATGTGCTCATTTTATAAGGTTTTGTCTATTACCTCACAAACACTGAAGTATGAAATGTTATTATTTATAACCATTGTAATCCCATGTAGTTTGCAGGTGATGTGACCCTATGAAATTGAATGATGACATCATTTTATACTGCAAATCTGATCTTTCTTTCTGCATTGACATTCGTGATAATTTGAAGAGATAAATTTGAAAATACTGATGGCTTAATCAACCCGTTTTCCGAATTTATCAAATTTATAATAGAAGAAAATGTGGAGGACAAAGAGAACACGCTTGGAAAAGTTTCAATCTCAAAATAAAAACACAAACTTGATTCATTTTACATTTAATAATGAATTACACCTGAGTCAGACCAACAGAACTTGAACTAACCTGTCAGACTATTAAAATGTCTTAGAATATATTTCATTTGCAAACTGAGACATTCCCTTCACTCCATATGATACAGTCTAGAAGATTTAAAGATGTCAACTGCGAGAAACAGTAAATGGGCGGAATATGACTTCCCCTTCATTCCTCCATTTATAAACATCAACCAGTAATTCAAAGACATCACACACATTCCTAATAAAAATAATGTAAAATAATGTCTTCTCACTGACATTCCTGTTGGAAGCTGTTCAGGTTATATTTATCAGAAGCTTTCCTCTTCAGAAGAATAGGTTCAACTGTGACCTTCAGGGAGCTATCGGTCAATGCGACCTCTGAAACCAAGTCTTCTCGTTGCATCTCGATGAATATCATTCCAAAACTTGCAAATCAATCTATTATTCATTGTTTGTTGACTACAGGATTGTCCTGGTTGTGTAATTACTCACAGTTCATTCTACTATTTTGAGCAGAGTAGAAAAAATTAGTTAATATTTACCTTCTAGGAGCTCTGATCAGACCACTGGGTATATCAATCAATACTTCTTACATCAAATGATCATAAATAATTGTGGCCAAGTGGTTAGTATTCGCGTTTTCGGTCACCGATGCTGCGCATAGTCTGAGTGAGTGAGGAAAACAAACTCACTTGTACCGAGCGTGTCAGATTTCATGTAAAACAAGGCTTCAAGCGAAAGCGATCAGTGATCTGAATAACATGTCGGCCAAGCAAGATTTGCCAGAAAATATTTTGAACGCTTACAAATTGATTTAAACATTTCCATTATAATAATTATACAAGATAATTTAATCGAATACTTATTTTTAGTAGAGTCTCTTCAGGCTTCACAACCACATATTAGACTACTACTTAAATATATTTAAAAACCAAAAGTCGCATAATCCTCATTTCAACTTCAAGAAAGGAGAGAAAGTGTTTTCTGAACAGATAGTGGACAAAGCGAGCAGATTTGGCCTCAAAAAATTAACTAGTGCAACTAACATTCAAAGTCAAGCTGACAGCCTTCACAGCAACTGGAGACAGACCACAATTCAAGTTCAACACTGAGGAATTGAAAGAAGAAACTACAAATGACAAATCCAACTCAGACATAAATTTAAAGTCAGAGACACTGAGTAACATCAGTGATTCATGAATAATCCCCATTCATGCATTAATGAAAACAAAACACGTAGTTCAACGAAGTCTCATTTCGACTAGTTCGTTTTCTTAGATATACAACCGCAAATATATATATATATATATATAT